AGGGAATTCTGGGAGTTGAAGTCCACCCATCTTCAAGTGGCCAAGGTTGAGAAACACTGTTTTAGAGATTCTTTGGAAGGAAGTTTTAGAGTGGCCAAGTAATTGCCTGGGGAAACTCTGAGACAGAAGAGGGTGTTGATGGCTCCAATTTCCTCCTCCTGTCCAGCTTGTAGGAAGAGCGTTTGCCCCATCTGGTAGACCAGACCAAGAAGTCAGTTCCACAGGAAGGCTAAAACTACTTTTCTTGAGAGGGGCCAAAACAACAGAATCTTGCAAGTCTGATTATGCTGTTCCTCCTCCCCTTCTGATACCCATGTGAATTAGGGAGGTGTCTCCCTGAGCTGCTTTGGCATGTTTTCTATTTATTGTGGACTTTAAGATACGTTTCACCCTCTCTGCTTTGGAGAGGATCTTGCATATCTCTGTCAAGGTCATCTTCCATACTCTCTACTACTAGCTTCTGAAGTAGGTCTGCTCCAAATTCTACCCTTGTTGCTCATTTCTAGACCTTGCCTTTGTTTAGCAATGAACTCCACTTCCTACTCCATTTGCCTTCTTCAACCTAATGCCCTGTGCTTGTTAAGGATTCTGGGACTCAGTCCAAGAGAGAATATTGGGGGAGTGGACCTTCGGTTCATACTCAGCAAATGAACCTCTTGATCCTGCTGCTGGTTGACCTCCCACTTGTTCACCCTGGTTCTTGGCTCGCCTGAAAACACACCCTGGATAGGACTGTCCTAACTGCCTCTAACTCTTTGGTTAAACAAAATTCTTGTACATTCATATACCAGAGTCGTATGTGGGGTGCAAGAAGAAAGGTCACTTCTCAAAGAAAGCAAAGTGTGTTTATTGTAGCCCCATTTGTTAATGTACTTGCTTTTATTGTCTCCACCATGCTAGGATCTTTGCCTGTATGGTTCTATCACTTCCAATACCTGGAACTGCAGAAATTCTAAATTTATAGGGGTGACTTATTTTATTTATCAGGTGTATATGAAAAGCTAAAAAGCCAGATGCTCTGAAATAGAAGTAAAAGATGCATTCTTATTAGAAGTGTACTTTCTCTGTTGATGCCCGGCCTATTCGGGGTTTAGAAAGAGATGGCTTTTACCCTGTACAGTAAACTGATTTATGGTAGCATATGCAAGCGAGATGTGAAGTGGAACTCCAATCTGGAACTGGGAGACCTTTCTAGAAATCTGGTGTGGGTGGTGGCTCGGCAGCATCTTTTGGAAGCTGGAAAGATTTACTGTTCAAATGTCAGCTTTGCTTCCAGCCTCCCTGTGCCCCTCAGGTTCATGGCGAGCCTTCATAATGTAGCAAGCTGATGCCAGTTTTCAGAAATGTATTTATATACTGCATTGCTGTGCATTGCTTTTGGAAAGCTGGAGGTGGAAGACTTCTGGCAGCCCAGAGCGCATGACGGGAGGCCTTCGCATCCCTCGGATGGCATTGCTTCCCAACCAGCTTCTTTGGACTCGTTTGAGCACCCTGCACCGAGTAAAACAAGAAGGTAATTGAAGGGAACGGCTGGCTGAGTCAGATGTTTTTCAGAGTCCTGCCGATTAAAAGGCCCCATTGATGCTGTCCCTTACTGTGTACTGTTGGAGAGCTTGAGAAAAGCTCCAGGAATTGTGAAGCGTTGGTGGCAGTTCCCTCTCTGGCTTCCAAATGCAAAGGCTCTTTTAAATGCCAGAGGAAATTATGCTTCTGATAATTTCTAGCCTGCCTCGTGGCAGCGGTTGCGCTTTGGAAGTTCATCCTTTCAGATGGCTCCTCGGCGTTCCTTTCTGCGAAGTCCTTGGTTTAATCCCTTCGGTCTCATCTTGTAATCAAGCCCCTTCTCCCTTCATGCGTGACCTCCATATGTTCCTTCACTGACTCCTTCTGAGTTTTTGGCACTGGCTGACATTAAATTTGCCGTTTAGTGTCCTCACCACTGAGGCTGGAGAGATCCCTCTGGAGCTTCACCATCTTTAATTCGTCAGTGTTATTTGCAAATATTGCCACCAGATAGCAGTGGCCAACTTGAATAGCACTGAGCCCCAAACGGATCCTCGTGGGACCCCACTTCTTACCTCCCCCTTTTGTGAAAATTGCCCATTTGTTCCTACTTTTTGTTTTCAGTTGTCCAACCAGGTGCCAGTCCATCAGAGGATCTCCCCTGTCATCCCATAACTGCTGAATTTACTCTCACATTGTCAGAATTTGGGGCCATATGGTCAGGTGAGGCAGGGGTCTTGGAACTGGGTCATGTGAGATAGGTGTCAAAGAGGGAAGAATGTTGTGTTCCCCCGCTCCCCGTTTGGGCTCTGGCCCTCTCCCCATTTTTAAAATCTCACTGCACTATTTCTCATGGGGTCCTCAGCAACCCCCAGCAGAACAGTTTCTTTTGGGGCACAATGAATAGCTAGAAAAGGTGGCCTTGGGGGCAGAATGTGGCCTCAGGAGAGTTTCAACTTTTGTTCCTGCGTAATGAGAAGACCCGTGAAGGTGCATAAATTCGCTTGGGAAAGGAGGCATTTCTGGTGAAATTTTAGAAGCTGGGATAGTTGCTGAATTGCAGCCCCCCTGAGATAGGACTTCAGTGTTCTGCACAATAGTCTGTTCTCCCTTGGACTGCGGACAAAGAACAAATTATGCAGATGCGTTTCATTTGCGTGGATCATGACACTCAGAACTTGACTTTTCTTGGCATATGGTCTTGATTGTGGCATTAATGCTCCTCTTATTTCGGTGGCTTTGGTTAACCATTAAGGGAACTGCCCTAAAGCAGCAGAACAAGCTTTCCTGGCAAACGCCTTTGCTGGAATACCTCGGCACCCTGCAGTTGAGGACAGCAGGTGCTGGGCTAGATCAGGCACAGACAGCCCAGCTGCAGGATGCGTGCATTGCTGGGAGGCTCTGGAGTTTTGAGTCCTCTTTTGCAAGGTGGGTGGACTTGATGTCCCACGGGCAGAATGTGGCCTATGTTAGCCTTTAAATTTTCCCCGCAGAATAGGCCATATTTTCCCTGTGTGGATGTAACAAGGTGCATTTCCCATGGTTTCTCTCACGCAGATGCCAGAATGAGAGTTCTCATGTAGAGGGACGCTGTGCTTGGCCTCCCCCCATTCCCGCAGGAGTTCTCCACCCCTTCCTACCCTAACCTCACTGTACACTCCCTGCAGCTCTGGGGGACAGCTGAGGAGGCAGGCTGCCACTAGCTGCTTTGCTCCAGAGAAATCCTCTCTGACAGTGGTTTACCAGGGAGGAGATAAATGGCAACTGTAGAGGAATATGGAGATCAGTTTGATGGAGGAATGCAAGAATCGTGAAGGGAAAATGAAAGACAACTCAGTCCTGGGAGAGGGGACAGCATGAGATAGAAACTCAAGATAACTCCATCTTGATTCTCTTTAGTATAAGAGGGGCAGAGGGGAACTCTGGCAGGCATGCAAGATTCAGATATTCTACCCTACAAGTTCCAGGAGACCTTGTGTGGTCAGTTTCATCACCTGGCCTACCTTGAAGGGCTAACAGCACCCCTGGATGGACGTAAACTGAATATCCAGACTGAGTAAACCCTGCCTGGCATCTAGGACGGCTCCACAACTTGGGCTTGGCTTGAACTTGGTCTCCTGGGCGTTTGGGGTCACCTTCCAGGGCTGGGCAGTGAAAGGGGGGATTCTGGCAAGGGCTCTCATCCTCCACCCCCCGATTAGCTTTACTTCAGAAGGGCTGATGATTGTGTAGATGTGCAATACTGGTGGATAAATAAATATAACCAAAGAAGCTGAAAAGCCTTCTTTGGTGGACCAATCGTGTGCTTGGTCCCGATGCAGCTGTAATTAAATGTGTTCTTAGAAAACTGTAATACCGTTGGTCAATACATACTTGGCAGCTCTCTGCAGACATATGGCAGAATGCCTGCACAGAGGCCTTTCAGGGTGACCCAAACAGGATGACGCAAGTTCATGATGGAAACCCTGATTAATGAAATGGGATTTTGCTCCTGCTACCGTAATAGATCTGTATTTGTGGGAAAGGCGAATGTTGCTTGGGATAAGCAAGGGATGAAAGCTTACTTGCTAGCAAGACATAACCCAGGAAAATCTGGAGGTAGCAAGAGTATAAAAAACTTGGGTGGAAATGATGGAGCATCCCAAGCCTTAACTTTAATTTGACTTTAATTTTTGGGGTGTGCTTTCCTCAAGTTGACTAACAAAATGGTACACTTCTGAAGACTAACGGCATTTTAGTTTACTCTAGTGTGTGAAGTAAGGGTTGCACTATGAAGGATGTCTTCTAGCCAGTGATTTCTCTCCAGGAGAATTGAAGTGAACAGTGCAAAATGGATCTGTGTATTTTGTCTCTTCAGCTCTGGCCCTTGTAGGTTAGACGGCATGGTGTCTCTCAGGAATGACTGGATGGAGAATTGACCATCCGTTGCAAGGCAGAGGAAGCCTTGGATTCGGAATCTGAAAGGGGGCAAGTGGTGGGAATAAATGAATGGACAGAGAAGACAGTCCAAACACCATGGGGATAAAAGATCCTTTCAAGCTCATTTTGCAGTGGCTCTTGCGGTTTTATATTCCCATTAACTTTGGCAATGATGGGGGAAGAAGGTAAGGAAAAATGGAATCCTTGTTCCTGTTGATAAGCGGATCTGCCTTAAGAATGAACGTGGATGCATTTTTTTGTTTTTAAGAACAGTACACTCAATTTGGGCATGTCCTTGCTGCGTTTGATCCAGATGCGTCCCTGGATTCTGCATTGAGCTCTGATGGTTTTTGAGGTTAGGACTAGCTACAAAACTCTAACCAGCTGAGCCTGCAGCATTTCTCAGAAAGAAGGTTATATTCTCTATTTCCTTTCTCTAGGTTCCCAGAAATACCTGAGCAAAGGGCCTCTTCTGAATGATTTCAACTTCTGGCGTTAACGTTTGGCTGCCAACCAACCGCCCAGCTGTGATGCATTGTATTTCATATGGAGGGTGTTCTACAGCATGAGAAGTGCTTCTGGAATTAAATGGTTGGAGTTCTCTTCGTCGTGTCCTTCAAGTCTAAGTTGAAAGGAGGAGTCTGGTACTGCCTTTTCCGACTAACAAATTAATTTTTTTATAACAAATTTATATGAAAGCATATGCCTTTTAATAAATGTGTTAGTCGGAAAAGGTTCTACTAGACTCCTGATGTTTTGCTACCCTAGACTAACCTGCAATGTCTTCTAGCTGAGTGGCCTGTCTCTTTTCCCGTTTAAGTTTTGGCTTGCAAAGAGCATTTCGGATGTAATCAGTAAGCCCAGCCGTCAAGAGAATTGCTTAATGGCTTTTCCCTGGGGTGGAGAGATGTAGAAATGTTGCTGATTGATTTCCATCATGCTTGCATGTCCAGCATGGACTGCGACGCTCCATAGACACAAAGTGGTTGGGGCTCTGCTGTGCGGTTAAGGAAATGCTCCCACCATTAAGGGAAGACAGAGGATTGATAGTAACGATACATCCAACGGTGGAGCTTGGGTACTTTTTGAAAAAAGGGTCCGTGGGATTTGGGTTCCCGTAATGCAGCGTCAACAAGATTTATGACTGCACAGCCGCTGGAAACCTTCTCAAGGTGTTTACAGATTGCCGGTCATGCTAAGCCAAAAGTGTTGCTCTCTTGGCTGTTTGGGCAGACCGTGACTTAGTACTATGCCCACGGTATTCCTCTCCACAAGACCATGGTGTGGCTTGGAGCCTACCATTTCACACAGCTCTCAAAAACGATAAGAGTCAGAATGTCATTGTAGACCAGATCAAAGGTTTCATATTTAGCCGTCTCCTCCTGTGGTTTGCCAGGTGCCTCCAGGAAATAAAGAAGAGTGTTGGCGACACCCCATATCTGCGTCCAGCCCTTGACAATGATAGCTGACTTAAGGAATGTAGAGGTCCTGTTTCAGTATTAATATTCAGTATTACTTAGGGGACCATCTCTCCCTAGTGGTGTCTACCGGTCCTGTAAGATCTGGCAGGAGAGGCATGCTGTGGGTCCTGTCTGTGAGAGAGTGCCATCTGATGGGACCCTGAAGAGGGACTTTTCTGTCGTGGTGCCCACCCTTTGGAACATCACCCCCCCCCCATGAAATCAGATTTGTCCCGACCCTGCTGGCCTTTCGCAAGACATTAAAAACTTGGTTTTGCCATCAAGCCTGGGGTCCTGATAGCGTGGGTGAGGCCGTTTCTTGGCTATATTGATTGTGGGATGTTGTCAGTGTTCTCGGCTGCTATATTTTATATTATTTATGTTTATAATTTTGATTTGTCAGCTGCCCAGGGTCAAGAATATGAAAGAGGGGGCCATGTAAATTTAGTAAGTAAGTAAGTAAATAAATATGGTAGCTAACAGCTACCAATTTGCCAGTAGGATGGTGAATTTGTGTTATCCATAAAATCCTAGAGTCAGAGAGTTGGAAGGGACCATCCAGTCCAAGCCTTATTCAGGTCAAGAATCCAGCGTAAAACTTCCCAGACAGATGGTTGTTTCAACACATTCAGGGAAGGGGAGCCCATCACCTCCATTTTAAAGCCCGTTAGGTTAGGCAACATGGAATAAGAAATCCTTGGATTTTTTCCCCCCAGTTTCCTTCTACTTACCGGCTGTGTTCACACCACACACTTAACCAAGTCAGATAAACCCCTAGCAGGGGTGTCCCATGACATGCGAAGCTTGGTTTTGCTTTGTGGGTAGGTCTTAAGGTATTGCACAATTCCAGCCAGCCTGTTTAGAGCATTGTTTCTCAACCTTGGCCACTTTAAGATGTGTGGACTTGGACTCCCAGAATTGTGCATGCTGCACAAATGCATCTGAAGCATGCATGCATAGGCTGCAGGGAGCTTGAGCTAGCGGGGATTTCCTGTGTGATGTGTAGGCTTTACATGTAGCAGAAATGCTCAAGAACATATGTAAAATGTATGAGGAGTTCCCACAGACCTCAACTGCAGCCTTCTCTTTGCAAAGAATTCTGGGAAGGTGACCTTCAAATTCCTAGAAGAGACCAACCTTAAGCCAGTGTGGATGGAGAATACGCATCACAACGAAGACTGTGGACCAAGGAGTAACTCTGCTTGCCCACTCAGCGTCCATGTGCTTTCAAGACGAGAGTTGGAGGGCAGTTGCTCTGTGCACTTATTCCCTTTGATTTACTCCTCAGTAAGCATGCCAAGGATCTGGAAGAGACTGAGCTAGGAGTGAGGAAGTTCATGGTTCAGATCTCACTTGGGCATCAGCTTGATTCCTAAACTCTAGTCTTTGTTTTTTCTTGGCTTCTCTTTGCTTATCTGCAGTATAGGGCTAATATTAGTTATCCAGTTGGCAAGGTTACAGCAAGGTGATAAATGTGTAGGCTAGTCTCTTCCTTCCACTTTACATGATGGTGAAATGGAAACGGATCATGACCACCTAAAACAGCCCAATCTTCTTTTTACCCTGTAACGTTGGCTGTAATATTCCCATTTTATTTAATATTTATTTGCTAATATTTACATGCTGCCTCCTTGCTTAACTCTAATGTTTGGGCAGAACATTTCAGTTAGTAAGTTATGTTTAGGAAGAAGGCTAATGAAGACTCAGTAAGTCTCACCCAGCAGAGCATTAAAAGGCATCAGGTTGCATCTTCAACAGGACCATTTTTCATGGGATTTTTAGAGGTGGATTTATAGGCTCTTTTGAGCAGGGGCCGTGAAATATTCTAGTACATCTGTAGGCTTTGTGTCACTGCAGGAGAAACATACCCTAGCTGGACCCAGCGCTGTTCCGGTTAGAGTAGGGATAGTCACAATTCAGAGTTGACAAGGAATGGTCAGACGTCAGGAGGAAGACAAGAGGACCGTGGCTGCATTTTGCTGTCAAAGCCACTTGGGATTCTCGCTGGGTGCTGCTCTTCTTGACATCCACGGCTTCCCAGCTACTCCAGGGCCCCTAGCTTTCCTTCCAAACTCTCCAGTTTCCCTCCTGTTGCTCCCACCATTCCTGCTCTCCTTTCCAGTAACCCCTTCTCAAACTTTCTCTGCACCAAACTGTGCATCTCGACAGGTCTCCCATTCTTTGTCTTGCTCCCTGGCCTGGAATATGCCTTCGTGCATGCTTGAGGGAGAGAGAAAGAAATCCAGCACTTGCTCTGAGCAAGGCGGTTGGGGAGAGCCAACGCATTTGGGTGCTCAGGGAAAGAGACCTTGGGGTGTCCAGACAAAATGTACGGAATGTGGGGGACGCCTCAAATTGCTTCCTTAAAAGAGAACCGTTCTGAAAAAAAAGAGCCATTAATACAGAGAAGCGTTTCATAATGCCATTAGGAAAAATTAGGCCTATCATTGCACAAAGCTGGCTTTTAGTGGGCCATGTTGAGAAATTCCATTGTTAACAGCTTACCAGCACGTCCAAGCAGCAGCTGCAAGCAGGCCTGCCATATTGCCGTGAATTTAAGCAGGCATCAAGCGAGCACTTTCTAGTCGGTGGCTTTTCTGCTTTGCCTTTGCACCAGATGAATTCGAGTGGGCCCTTGACTAGTCCTCAAGTGTTTGCTGTCCACTGATCACGGAGCTCTCCCTGTGCATGTGTCGGGGGGAGAGAGGGGAAAGCTCAGGTGCCTAGAAAGAGAATTTGGGTTTCCTTGTTCAGGTAGCTCTTTTCAACCCAGTTCCCTTCAGGTATGTTGGATTACAGTGGCAAATATTTTCCAGCCAAGAGGGATGATGCTTAGGCTGGTAGGGATTATGAGAGTTGTAACCCAAGGCATCTGGAAGGGAGCAGGCTGAGTAAGGCTTTTCCGGAAGATTTCTGGTTATGGCATCTACGGATAGCAGGGGGCTGATCCGCCTGCCTTTCTCGGGCTCGCATCTGTTCTAGTGCGCAGGGTTGGCTGCCAAGCTGTTCCTTGGCCAGAGCGACGCTGCATTTAAGTCCCCAGCAGTTCTGAATCAGAGCTGCTGCTTTCGGCTCTCACGTGGAAGGAGCCGGATCTCCGAAATAGCATCAGTCCTGGTGCATAGATTGCGTGTTACGGCTCCCTAGGTTTTGTCCTTTGTTTTAGCGCTGGATGAGCAAACGGATGTTCGGTATTGCCACTGTTTCTTTTCTGAGCTCACAGAGTCAGGAAGGGAAGCAAAAACCCTGAGACGTGTTATTTGGGAAGCTGCGTGTGGCCATTGACCAGCGTGCTCATTGTTAAGGTAATTGCACAGCCAGCCTTCGGATGCCAAGGGTGGGGCTTAATTGCAGGCTTGGGCTGGAAGAGGGGCAGAGGCTTTGCAAGGAAAGAAAAATTAGGGCTGCTTGGCTCTTGGTCTCGCTGGAAGCTGGAGGAGTCTCAGCCTAGACAGGTGCTTGGATTTGCGAAGAGCAGGAGCCGGCCCTGGCGCTAAGCGTGGCGTTCTGCTGGGTTGGATGGGCTCAAGCAGACCATCTGGGAGCGTTTTTTCAGCCTTCTCTGCTGATCCTATGAGGTCAACTCAGGTGAGAGGCAAGGAGCCCCCAACTGGAGTGAAGCCAAAGCTTCTGGTGTGGTCCATCTCTCCCCCGGTGGCTTCAGCCTTCTGTCCTCTGTTGTCTCTCTGTGGCTGCTGTGCTCCTGTCTTGGGTGGGAGCCCATCCCAACTGTAAGATGCTAATTGCAACTATAAATAAAAAGGTGAGAATGTTTCTCAACTGTTGTTTTTAATCATTGTCCTCATCCTCATCCTCATCCTCATCTCCAGTTGGATCCATTGATACCCCTGTTCCTCCATGCTGAAATCGCCAACTTTCCGCACAGTGCCAATTAGAGCAAATATGGCTCAGCTTTGGTTCTGCTCCTGTGAAAAGCTGGATTCTTTTGGCTTGCAGGGAAAATGCATCTTTTCCCATGGAACATAGACTGCAAAAAAGGATTTTTCTGCTGGGTTGCTTCCCTCTGGGTGTTGGGACAGTGCCTCCCAGAATTCTCCACTGGGAGATTAGGAACAAAAAATTGCCCCTTGTTGTCAAAGAGATGGTTGGGCTACCAGTTGGACTAAGAGC